CGTTCTTTTTTTGTTCATCAAACTTTTCTTTTGTTATGACGCATGTTACTTTAAAACTTATGCTCGATAGTATGGGCAACAAGGGACAAGATCTCATCTGGAGTTTCGGGAAACGGCAATGCATGGGACGGGGTTATATTTCAAAATCACTTGCATTCATCGACAAGGGTCACTTCAACGTGGTATGAAATAAGATAAAATGTGGGACAAGGGAATGGGCGCTACCATGGCACATATTTGATTTGATTTTGAAATTGGGGCATCAAGAAAAGGGACAAAGGGGGTCTAATGTACAATAAGGGCAATGGAAAATTCAAGCCAAACATGAATCAAGGAGAGCACAAGCGCCAGTAAAAACAGAAAATAGGGACAGATAACAAATAGATAGCCACCTTCATGTCGCTTCCTCTCCTACACGATACGCTCAACTGGCTCTTTATGCGTCAAACTCAATGATCCGCTCCGTCGTAACAGACGCAGCCGGACCACCGCTGCTCTTGTCTTTCTTCATGGCAATGCCCCCCTTGCTGTCGCCAGCACCGTTGCTGCTGTGCGCGGCGCCACCACCATCTGCCTTGGCATCGGCCCCTTCCAGGAGATCCAGGTCGGCTGATCGACCGCCACTGCCCGACGAGACAACCAGGTCATCGTCGTCTTCATCGTCGTCGTCGGCGTCAGCATTCGGCCGGGCTTGGCCGGGCAAGGCGTTCTTCTCTAGCTCGCGCTGGGCCTCCTCCATGCGCTTGCGCACTTCGGCCGCCACGCGCATTCCGTCGGTGACAATGTTATCGAGCACGCCACGGAGACCGCGTGAGGCGCCGCTAAAGGCCTGGCCGGCTTGAAGCGCGCCGGGCCGGGGACCACCGGCACCGACACCGGGTGAGAGACCGCCAGCAGCGCCAGTGCTGCCGTTACCATTGCCAGCACTGCCAAACGCAGCTGCAGCCGCCCGACCGGCACCGATGCCTAGGTTGGCAAAGGTGGTGAGAGCAGACGCGTTAGACGACGGGCTTGCCAAGGAGACGCCCTCGATCACATGGAAGGAGGTTGGGAAGGACGACTCAAAGAACTGCTCGAGCAACTCGTCGGCAAGCACGACCATGCGGAACGTGGGGAGCGTAATGTGCAGGGGGTTGGAAGGGTCGAGGGCCACGTTGGCGCGCTCCGACTCGGCCTTGGAGACGATCCGGCGCTTAGCGTCAGCTCTGTCGACGGTTAAATGCTTCGCCTTGGCAGGCTTGGGACTTCCATGGGGCGAGAGTGCCAGAAGGTCCTCTTCGTTATCCTCATCGTCGCCGTCATCGTTATCGTAGTAGTCTTCACTGTCCTCGTCATCGCTGTCGCCAATGGCAAACGAGTCGGGCTGGGCCAGACCGTCGGCATCGCCGACATCGGCCGGCTTGACGCCCTTCTGTGCCTTTTTGTCCTTCCTTTCCTTTTTGGCCCTCTTCGCCTCCGCTTTCTGTTCGGCCTTTATGTCGCTCTGCGGGTGGTCTGGGTCGGCATACTCGAAACATCGCCGGATGAACGCACTCACACTGCCGAGGAACCGCTCATTGATCGTCATCTCAGACGGCAGAGGACTGGAAGAGCCGCTGTGGAGGCTCTCGTTCGCGCTGTTGGCAGCGTCCAGAGCGGCCTGGTTCTCGGGGCTCAGCGTGCCCTCGAGGCCACGGCGCGACAAGAACAACAGGGCCTCCGACATGCGCAGGATGCCCTCGCGATCCACGCGGCCGTCGCCGTCGTCGTCATATAGCTCAAAGAAATAGTTGATGGCGCCCATGATATCGCGCTTTCCCTTGATCCGGGCAATGCCGTTGACAACATTGGGCAGCGTCAGCCAGCCGGCGTTGTCCTTGTCCCAATGCGAAAAGAGTCGTTGCAAGAATTCGTGATCGGCCGGCTCCGGTCCGACACCCCACGGCGACATGATTGCACTGGAGTTGCCCGTTGGACTTCGAAGGGACGAGAAGTAGGCAGCGGCCGTTGAGGCGGAAAACGATGGGCTCTTTTCACGGTCGCTAAACGAGTCGTTGACGGGTGTAGTTGGCGAGTCCGAGATAGCCCACTTGGACATGCCGGCGAGGAACTCGCGGAAAGCGTCGTAGTCCATCTGGCTGGTACTGGCACCAAGACCGACCCGTCCTTGCTCCGCGTCAGGGGCTGACGAGATATTGGGCTTGGGAAGAGGCGGTGTCGATGGGGAAGGATCGGCGCCATCCAGGCCTAGTTTGGCCCGCCGTTGTTGTCGCTGTTGCCGTTGCAAAATCTGCTGCTGTTGCTGGACGATTTGTTCCTGCTGTTGACGAATGATGAGATGTCTCTGCTGGCGCTCGTACAGGACACCGTAGAAGCGGTCATACAGGCCACCCAGCTCCTGTGTGCTGAGGACCTTGCTGTCGGGACCCAGGTTGCGGAGGGCGGTGCGCTTCGTAAAGTTTTCGATGTTGTTGAGGACAGCGTCCTTGTTCTTCTGGCGCAGGTCCGCGATGGTGGCGTTGGTGATGCCCGAAAATTCTTTGAAAGCAACGACCATGAGCTCCTGGAAGCGAGTGACGGCACGCAGCTTGGGGTTATCAGACCGCGGGTGTGCGGACTCGTCTAAGCGCGAGAAGTACGACTTGAGCACCGAGATAAAGGCTCCATCGTCGCCCGCGTCAAGGAGCTCCTCGCCGTTGATGCGCAGAATGGCCAGGCCGACCTGGAACAGCACCTTGGGGCCTTCAACGAAAAAGACGTCGAGCACGCGGAAGGCAAACACAAGGGGCATTGAGTTGATGTACAGCGACAGGAACCAGGGCAGCGACACCACCGAGAGCTGCACGTCGCTCTTGACCAAATGGTCCCAGATAATCGGCATCGTCTTCTCGACGAGAGACTCAAACACCTTCTGGTCGAGCAGAGTGCCGTACATAGTGGTCGAGTAGTAACCCGGCACAAGCCGGTCGCACAAGGTGGACAGCAAGAAGAAGGCCTGGACCTCGGACATGTAGATGAGCAGGGCAGCCACGACAATGTTCATGGCCTGGCAGTAGCCAACGTCGGCATTGACCCAGCTGTAAGCCGTCAGGACCCGCCGCAGCCGGCCGATGCCGTCCTCGCTCTGGAAACCAGCATACTCGGGCAGCGAGCGGTTCAGATCCTTCTCGATCTCGTCAATGGCCAGCGACTCCTGGCCCTTGTAGGTCTCGAGGGTGTCGGCGTAGAGGTTGGGGTTGTCGAAGCGCAGGTAGATGGAGCCTGATGTCAGCTCCCACATTTCACCACGCAGACGATTTGGCAGGCCGACGCGGATCAGCTTGTAGAAGGTGGGGTGGCGAACCAGAGTCAGGTTGCGGCCATTGTCACGCAGGTACTCTGCCCAGAGCCGCATTTTGGCGCGATCACGCAGCTTTTTGGCGTCACCCGGGTAGCGGAAGACCATACCAAGACCAGCATCTGGCGGGTTCATTGTCGTCTTGCGCTCCTCGGGGCGTAGCAGGTATTCGGAGTAGCACTCGCTGGCCACACCCCGCATCTTTCCAATCTGTCCAATGGCCGTACGGAGGTTCTTCTTGAGGCCGTCGCAGAAGCGTTCGCAGGCCTGACGCGAACCGGCCAGCTCAATCGTGATGCGCTGTTCCCGCGGAGGCGAGACAGCAGGTGCTGGACCCTTGGTATCGTCACCCTTGGGTGAAGAGGAGCCCTCGTACAGCAAGCCGTTCCATGAAGTGATCGACAGGCAAAACTGGAAGTTTTGGGTGTGGAGGCGCTCGACCCGGCGAATGGCGCACAGCGGGAATGTAAAACCCTTTCCGCTGGGACCTTCGCCGTGGGTCTGGCCCGTAAATGCGGAGGAGGTAGCCTGACTCGCGGACGTGACGAAGCTCGACGGGGCGGTCGAAAAGCAGAGGTAGGCTTCGGAGAGGTGAAGGCGCCCGGCGTAGCGGTACGCAGCGTTGTTGGATGCAGGAGCAGCGACGAGGCCAACGGTCTCTTTCTCGGAGGGCGGGAGGGTCAGCTCGGCAGCGATCTCGTGCAGTGGGTGCTGGGACGCGGGAAGGCGGAACTGGGCCTGAAAAAGAGCGGCTTTGGAAGGGCTTTTCTTTGTATTGTCGCCGGTGAGGCCCGCGAGGAAACCGGCTGGTGCACCGGGTGAACCGGAACCGTTGCCCGAGCCAGAAGTAGCATTGGGATCAAGCAGCTGCTGAGCCCGCTGGACAAAGCCCGAAATGTTCAACATCCTGCCGACCGGGGAGGATTCGTTTCAAATGGAACGTTGGCGCCCAAGGCACCCGGGTAGAAAGGGCGGATAGGTGGTCGATGAGTGGTCGATGGATGGTCGGATGCTGGCGATTTAGGCACTCTCGACGAAAGACGTAGCCCCCGACGGTTGTTTGGCCGTCCTAAGCAAGCCTCCAGCGGTGCTCTGGCTGCTTCGATCCAAATCGTGTCAGGCGAGACGGAGGCCGAGGAACAGGAAGAGGCGGGGGACGTCGCCCAGGAGAAGGATGACGGGGAAACGAGCAGAGCTGGTCGGTGAGACGTCCGGCTGCAGCTATGTTGTCACACTCAATCGATAAGTCGGTCGACCTCCTCAGCGCGCGCGTGTCGTGATCATGCTAAAGGGGGGGGAAGCTCGAAGTAAGGTTGGTTCGCTGGGCGAGGTAAGCAGGTGGGAGCAGTGGGCGGTGTGGAGGTGAGAGGTGGTGGGGAGGAGGCGATAAAGCCAAGCCGTAGCGGCGGGATGATTGGAACTGGGAGACGATGGCGGCAGAAAAAGTACGGAGTAGTACGAGGAGAGAGGGGGGAAGCCCTGGACAGGAGCTGTGGAGCACGAATAAGCTGAGCAGGCTGAGCAGCTGAGAGGATTTGGCTTTAGCTGAGTCGGGAGTGTGGGCACACACTGTAAAAGGGGTTGCTCGAGACGCCTGGTACACATTCCTTTCCTTAACTGTTTGTCCTTGAGTGCAAAAAGAAACATGAAGCAAAGGGGCGAGAAAATAAAACGAAAGAATATAATGACCAGCGAAGAAAAAGAAGACAAAAACACTGGCTGGAAACGTACCTTGATCCACAGTCAAAAACGAATGCGGAGGCTGCCGGCACGGTGTAGAGCTGCACGACACGAACGGGCCGGAAACGCGCGTCGGACAGACGACGATGAAGAAGAGAAGAAAACAGGGTGAGATGCAGATAGGATGGATGCAAGATGGCATTGAAAAGCAGAGAAGAGGCAACAAAAGGCAAGTACGCCTGTACAGACTACATGGTACCTGCCGAGCACGTGTTGCGAATTACGGAGGCATCTTACAAGGCAGGAAAGCGTGGACGGGCAAAGCGGACAAGACGGAGCGACGCGAAAGGGTGCGTCCATCTGAGACCGAGCAGAAAGAGCGATGGGGTGTTTGTCAGGACGCAATCACAGCCAGAACTATGTCTCACGGTTGCTCCTGCTTTCGCGAGGCATGTTGCTGAGTGTGTCATGCATGCGCAGTGCGCAGTGCGCAGTGCTCTTTCCATCTTTCGTGCAGAGTAATACTCGGTATGGCTTGTCTTGAATGCAAGGCGGGTCTACCAGACCCAGCAGTTGGAAAGGCGCTTGAAACGGCGGCAAGGCGAGCTTAGTTAGCTGGCGAAACCCGACAACATATTTCGTACTGCTTCAAGGAATAACGGCCTGACTAGGCCACTGTGGCTCTCCACTAACACGCTAGAAGACCAGAGCGACCGTTGTCAGCCCTGTATTACTCCGTAAACAAAGCAATGTAGCCAAGCCTCTCATCCCATCGAAAGCACAACGAAAATGTTTATTTATAGCCACGTCTCCGTATTATTCATGCCAGCGATATCCGGCGGATGCCCATTTCTACGCCCTCGCGACGCTCTTTCGTCACGCGTCAAATTCCCCAAATCAGACCTGCGGCACTCAACGGCGAAATTTGGTGACACCCGGTCGGTCTTGTCTGGCGCAGTGGAAGTTTCTGACATCTGTGTCGGTCGACATACATCCACTTCGTATTGAGGAATCTCGTGAAAATAACGCTCACGATACATTGCAATCGAAAGCCGCGGTCGAGTTTTCTGTCGGCTGCAGCTGCCGTTTCGGTTCACGCGAGTTGGTTGTGCCTGAAATCAGGTGATCAATGGATGAAAGGATCAATGTAATTGGGTAATGGCTAAATACAACATTATGACGAAATCAACCAAAACAAATCATTAAGACATCAAAAGGCCATCGCGGAAAGATGGCAGCGTAGATCAGTTGTCATTGAGCCCCCATTGGTTGGCTGGCGAGCAATGCATGTGTTGTTGGTATTTGACCTGAATGGTGGGAAAGGCGCAGTAAGCAGCATGTATGGCAACAGCTGACGAGATCTATGTTTGGACAAAAAACAGAGCTGGCAAAGATAAAGACATAATAGCAACAGGCACACCAGCCTGCTCAAGTCGCTCTCGAGTAGGCCCCGCCAGTCGTCCCCGTTCATCTCTCTATGCGCATGCGACGGCCTCAAAACGACGTCGACAATCTACTTGTCGACAGCGCCGAAGCACGTCTCCATGATGATGCCAGTAATGCGGTAAGGGTCGGCGTTGGAGGCGGGGCGGCGATCCTCAAAGTAGCCGTAGCCCTTTGCGCCGACCTCGCGAGGAATGCGGATAGAGGCGCCGCGGTTGGCGACACCCCAGCTGAACTGGTCGATGGCACCGGTCTCGTGGCGGCCGGTCAGACGCTTCTCGTTGTCCTCGCCGTAGACGGCAATGTGCTCCTTGTGGCGGCCCTCGAGCTTCTTGATGGCCTCCTCAATGTACTTCATGCCACCCTCGACACGCATCTCCTTGGTGGAGAAGTTCGAGTGCAGACCGGCACCGTTCCAGTCGCCGGGGATGGGTTTGGGGTGAACCGAGACCTTGGCGCCCAGCTCCTCGGCGATACGGTGGAGCAGGAAGCGCGAAATCCACAGGTGATCGCCCATCTCGATGCCGGTGCAAGGACCGACCTGGTACTCCCACTGGGCGGCTGCAAACGATGTCAGCAACAGGGGTTCAATTCAGACGGTGGGTAATGGAAAGGGACGCCGACATGGAAATCATCGTATGAAAACTATGATGTAATTGACATGGGTGGGTGAGTGTCGCATGGGAAAAGCAAGGAATGTCAACTTACGCATGACCTCGGCGTTAGTGCCGCTGATCTTGACACCAGCGTACAAGCAGGCTGTACAAAACTGTTAGCAAAATAGTTTCTCACAAAAAAAAAGCAAAAGCAAAACACACGCCAGTTGTTGACAATAAAACACCGCATTGGCAACCCAACGAGTCGGGAAACCGAACAGGTCGAGCCTTGCGGCTTGCAAAACGTGTCGTAAAAACAAGGTCGTGTGACCAATTGGCATGGTGGGCTGGCTGCTTGCTTACCCTTGTAGTGGGCCTCGACGATATCACGCTGGACAACCTTGCCCGAGCCGACACCGCAGTAGTACGGGCCCTGGGGAGCAGGGAAACCGTTCGTGGGCCAGCCGTACGGACGGTCGGAGCTGTCGAGCAGGGTGTACTCCTGCTCGAGGCCGAACCACGGCTCATGGGCGGCGTGGGCCTCCATGAGCTTGGCGCACTCGTGACGGTAGTTGAACTTGTTAGGCGTGCCGTCGGCGTTCCAGCACTCGGCCAGGACAAGGATGTTGGGAGACAGGAGGAAGGGGGACGGGAAGACGGCGACGGGCTTCAGGTAGACGTCGGAGTTGTCACCGGGGGCCTGGCCGGTGGAGGAGCCGTCAAAGTTCCATATCGGGAGCTCGTCGACAGTGTAGTCCTTCTCCTTCAGGGTCTATTGGCCAGGGCGCAAAGGGCGGTTAGCAAAAGGCGGGTCAGATAGGACGGTCAGGACAGATGGCATGAGGCGGCCAAACGGCCAATGGCCAAACGGCCCAGCAAAGCGAATAAAAAACGAGTCATAAAAAACAAGCGGGTCGGGGAGCAAAAACGCAACTTACCCGGGACTTGGAGCGAGTGTTGCCCTCGGCATCGATCCAGATGTACTCAGCAATAATGCTGCCCTTCTGGTCGAGCTTCAGGTATTTTTGCAGCTGTGATGGGTGAGTTAGCAAGAGCTGCCAGGCTTGTGAGGCTTGTAAGTGGGTTCGATTTTCGATTCGGGGAAGAAACGTACAACTGCAACGTTGGAGGTAAGTTGTTCTGAAGACTATATGCGGGAATATGTTGTTAGCAAACCGTGACGTCGTCTTGGAAACGGCCTCTGCGCCATCCTCTCGCATGATGCTGTTCTTCTGTGAATTCTTGTTCTCTTCGTCGCTGTCCGTCGCTTGTCCAAAACAAATCGGCGGCCAGCGCATGACGAGCGACGAGAATTGGCGGTTCCTGAAAACAGCAACCAATAGCAATGAACGGGGGCAGGCGGTGTTGGAGACAGCCTTACCATATTTGCGGTTGTGTGTGTGAGAGAGGTTGTGAATGGGGAGGAGAAAGAGAAAAGAGGAACGGAAGAAATAGAGAGGACGAAGAAAGAAAGTGACAAAGAGGAAGAGGTTATATGTTGTAGAAGAGCAAAAAATAGCACAATGGCTTCTTTATGTGTGGAAAAGGAGAAAAACAAGTTGGGAAAATATAAGGAAAGAGCCAGAAGAAAACTGTCACTGGCGGGGTTCCGGGGAGCGGCGAGGCAGGGTTCTTTTATCTGTAGCGCTCTTTCCTAGCGACGGCGCTGTATCGGCTTGTGAACGAGCAAGTGGAATCGCAAAAAACTGGGTCCACTTAGGTCACTATTCTCGCGGCGTGGGAAATAAGTCAGGGAGTGGGGAGCCCAAGGGAAACGAGACGGGTTGTCTTTTAGGGGGTGTGGGCATCCTGCTAGGAGCCAGGGAAAAAAGAAAAATGCTAAAAAAAAACGAAGAAAAGAAAGATACTTACAAGCGAGTACCTTTTGTCGTGATGTGTGTACTGGCTTAGTGGGTGTGGGTGGCAGTTGCCCAAACCGGACCCTTGATGAAAAGTGTGAAAATGAAAAGAGGAAAGAATGACCCCCAGAATCATCTGAGAGAGAGGAGGAGGGGAGGGGGGGGGGGGGGCAGCGACATCTTCCTGGGGTAAGATAGAGAAGATAAGGATGAAGCATTTGATGTGGTTTTTATTACCGAAAAAAAGGTAACAGAAACGTCACTTAGGAAGATCAAGGACCAGAGTTTCTGCGGTGAGTCCTTATTACAGCTTACGTAGTGTCTTGCAAGACAAATAGGGCAACTGCAGGGGCCTCTTTCCCGAAATGGTGTGTGGGCTCTCTGAGCATGCCACACTGACTTTGATCTGATGGATAGGAAACAGCGACCCAGAGCCGCTCACAACGCGAGGTTTGTGCGGACGTATCTTTCAATGCGCGGCGGAAGCCACGATGGTTGCTTCAGCTTTTGCTTGGTTTCGTGGATGCGGCGTCACTATCATGGTCACGTCCTCCCCCAGAGGCGGTTGGAAGATACGAGTCGTAGCGAGTAATCATCGTCTTTCGTGTACTCCGAGTTATCGTAAGAAAAGATACCTGGGAGCGGTGGCGGTTTTTTCGGTGGGGGCGACGCCAGTGGGAATAAAGCCTGAAAGACAGGGCCCAGACAAGGGAACAGGAATGGGAATGGGACGAGGCGTGATGCTGGAGAACAAAAGGCGATAAAATTGTCTGGGCGAGGAACTCTGGGCGAGGTACATGGACTTGTGGTACCTTGCCGAGCGCAGGTGTGCCCATGTGCTGTCTCGTCCGCAGGCGCAAATTCGAGCGTTTTGCAGGCTCCAGTCGGTTCTAGGACAGAGGAACAGATAGTACCACGTTTGGAAGTACCCATTCGGGCGGCGTCGCGCGCTACGGACCCGCTAGCGCGCCAACGAAGGATGGCTAGAGCCAATGACAGAAGCGCTCGATATCGAAAGGCGAAAAAATGGAAGGCAAACAGAAAGGTTGGGGAAGCAACGACTCACGACACGACCGTCACAGAATCGGATCACAATCACATCGAAACGTTGATGCTCGTCAAAGCGCAAAGGCCTGATGGTCTGGACATTCGTTTTGGGGGTGGCGGTTTGCGTGTTCCTGTGACAAGCAGGCCCAGCTGCGGCATTTTGTATGTTCTATACAGAAAATAAGGAATATACAGGACCATGAGGGACATGTGGCACGAGGAGATTAGCAGCAACAAAAAAAATGATATAAAACTAAACACACGGGAAAAGAACGTGAAATAACCGAATCGAGGGGCAGCTGCAGCAGCACAGATAGGAGACCTACCCAACATGCCTCACACTCGTGTCTCTTATCAGTTCACTATCACGGGAGGTGCAGACATGGTGGCCGCACAAGCTTCCCGCGCCGACGACATTGCAACGACGTGGGGTTCGCCTTGCATTTGTATTTGTTCTGGTGCGCTTCTCCTTCTCCTGGAGCGACCATTCGCGGAGGGTGCAACCAACTGTCGAGCCCTCTCTCTGTCTCCTTCTCTCTTCTCACGAGGGCATCCACTGCTGAGTGCTCCATTGTAGACAGCACAGCTCCATATTTCATCCAGGAACAGCTCCACGCGGACTAGCAAGAAGGCCATCCGTCTCGGGGATATCCACATCAGCGGCCAACATGCCAACCTGTCCCAAACGATATATTTCCCGCATGGCGAAGACTGACAAGGAGCGCAGGTTTCGAGCGAGTCAGAGGGGAGGGAAAGTGACAAACGGCAGAGGGTTTAATTCCCTCGCACCTGAGAGGGCAGGAAACCCAAAGAGATATGGGTAATATTGGAGCTGGGCAGTTGTGGAGTTGAGTAGGAGGAAGAACACCTTCCCCGGTAGCCATGCGCTCTTAATGGCATTCCTATTTGTATGTTGCACCGTGCTGCTCCAATGATGCTCCAATATTGGTCGAACCCACCCCCATTCCTCTGACTTGCATATCTGACTGCTTGTTGGTCACTGCACCGGCAAGCCCCTGGCTTTTGAGGCAATAAGGGTCCAAGAACACGCAAAAAAAACGCATCAAGTGAGCATCACAAGACGGCAATGATATCGTTAGGATGGAGACAGTTGAGTCATCTTTGGGGAAGCACGCGACAGTAGTGACCTTTGAAGCAATCAAACAGAATATCAACGGACCAAAACGACACGCAAGAGGGTCACAAAAAGGTAAAGCGATCGAGTAAACAGAACTGGGCCCATGCACGAATCACAGCGTCGCCCGGTTAGAGGTATCTTTGGTCCTTCAGCCTTCCCACACGCCCCTCCATCTCCTTTTTTAATACTAAAAATCATCTTATTTACTTTTACATATCTTATATCCATACCCCTCAAAGGGTCTGTTGTGCCTCCATTGCGTTGGGCACACATTTACCTGACATTCTTCTTCGTTTCACAATGGTGTAGTCTATCGCTTTTCTTCTCCTTCAATGTTTTATTTTGAAAGACAACATCATTAAGAGGATGTACATCTATCGTCCTCGTCTGGGGATTGCCTGGAGATTTCCCGCTTTCCCCCTTTGCCCCGTCGTCAAATAGGATCTCCAGATCTGCTTTCTTGTCAAGTAACCATTTCAAAACGCCATTACCTTATTGCTCAGGGTGGCGGTCGCCTATCGATTTGAGACGAGAGCCAGCCTGGGGACGGAAACCGCCCCAAGTGTCGGAATGCCCCCTGTGACTATGGAACTGTCGTTCTCCCATTTCCCCTGCTAGCCTGGGCCAGCCGGCGCCTGTCGTTTGTTACGGGCGAAGTATCTGTCGGGCTGGGCGATACATCGCCGCTTGTAGCGTGTTAGTGCCGCATACGGGGTTCTGCAGCCCAGCCAATCAGAGCGATTCGCCAGTTTCTTATCATTGCTCTTTGATTGGTGGGTTACTCATTGCCACACGACCTGTTACCTAAAGGCCGCCGAGGCGGAGCGCAAGCCAAAGTCGGGCGGCCGACGCAGCATGCGCACAAAGAAACACAGCGGAACGACCATAAGAGCACACAGAAAACGAACAACGAGCAAATGGAAGATCCCAATCGGTGACCAGTCCGCCGCCACTGGTCACTGTCGCCGCTGCCCAGATGCTTGGAATATACGCTGTGGCCGGGGCGCGACAGGAAGGAACCACCGTGTGACACACGGGACGCCATTCGGTCTGACGACATGACATGCCTACACTTACAGAGCGCGCTGTAATACAGTGCAAAGGCCATAACCGCAGCCAGCCACTCACAGGCCTCGCTTCCGCCCTGTTCACCTTGGGCCCGGCTATTTCCCATTACCCGGGGAAGGCGCATGACGATTTGCCACTGCCCAAAACAGCCCCGAACAGCCCCAATTGGCAACACCGCCTCGCCCAGTTTAGAAACCAGAAAACGAAACGGACCCTACATACATTGAGGTAACCTGCGAATACGGTTCTGGCCGCGCCCGCCCACACGAGCACACGAGGTCCAAGGCGAGGTTTGTTCCAAATGTATGTCGTAATTTGGACAACGTCGTAAATTTACAGATGTTTAACACAAAGGCTGCAACAAACTGTCCCATTTTGGCAAACTCGGTCGGCCACCAAAAGCTGAATCCCGAAGACGCCCGCCATCATTTTCTTCTTTTTGATCCAATTTGGTTTTTCGTCCCTTTCCGCCTTCCGAGTGCCGTCTGGGTTCGTCGGTCGGCAACTTATCGATTTATTTTAAAAACATTACCTTCTCGTTGATTCGGTGTTTCGTCTCCGCTGTCACCGAAATTCCGTCTCCGATAAAGTTTTTTGGTAATTGCAGTCTTAACCGCGTCAGGTCCTTTGCCATGCTGTCTCATTCGGCTTCTACTTTCATTCCTTGTCTCTTCACTTCTCCCCGGCTCTGTATGCCCGGAGGCTCTTGTTGCTCCTCCCTGGTCGCACACGTCAGCCAGAGTCTCAATTACCGTGCCTTGCATCCTTTCACAGGGTTCTTTTCTTTTACGTACTCGCGCGGTAATGCTCACAGAACGCCAGGCCTTAAATGACATAGTGAAGTACAGACTCAAAATAAGCGTCAAACAATGAAAGGGCGGTCGACAAGGCCTGGGAACCAGGGAAATCAAAGTACGTCAGCGAAATCAAGGAAATTGTTACCAGTCTCACCCAGTCACATTGTTTCGTTTGTTCCGACCAACCGCCTCAGCGAACCAACGACCATTTAGCTGCGTTTCTCTACCTTGCCCTGGCCCGAGGCTCATGAGTTCGGGCCCATTTTCTGTTTCGTCATACATTGCATACATTGTGACGGGTTTGTTTTCAGGACAACACGAGACGAGGAAAGGAATGAAGCAAAAGAAAAGACATCAGGGAAATGGACATTGGCAGCCATTGATGTCGCTGGACAGAGTTGCAAATCGACCGATGCTAATATTTTCTTGTTCTGGTATGTTTTTATCCGCAATACTGCCTGCACACAATTTTTTGCTCGAGCCTGCCGAGCCTGTATGGGCGACCCTCACACAGCCGGGCTGCACATGCTTTTTCTCTACTTGCAATTTGGGGGCCTTGGAGACTTCTATGTCCGGCCGTCAGTTTGGCATGCTCCGGGAATCGCCCGCTCCATCTTCTAGCTCGCTTTTCCCCTGCAAATACAGTAGAGAACCCCCAAAGGCCGATGCCACTGACTTTTGGCTCGTCTTTGATGTGTCTGGCTGCACACCACTGTTCTGCTGGGCGCTTTGTCGCTTCCGCTCAAAACGGCAATAGGGATCGTGCCGGTGCCGGTGTGCAACTTTGTGCTCGTGAAGACTGTTTCTTCACCGCCGAGAGTGAGAGTCATAGTATGATGCTGCCGTGTGTGAAGACAGAGAGAGTGAACAAGGCTGTAGAATGCAGAAATAGCGAAGTGATTACGCCGCAGTATGTCCTAAACGGGCATGTGCACCCCATGTGACACTTTTCGTCTTGAAAAGGCAATTGCGATGAGATGAAATGACGTGCGTCACGTGTCAGAGATCCAAAAATCCAGGAACGAGTTTTCCAGGTACGACTGCGACATGAGACATACAGAGAGCATCGCTGCCTGAACGACCAAAATAAAATATACTGCATGATTGCCGCCGTTTAGCAGCCAAATGGCACTTCATGCAATTACACGAGACCAATTTCCAGCTTTTCAGCTTGCCGCCATGTCTCTCCACGTCCCGGTTGTCGCCGACGACATACTCCGCAGCATCAGGCTGGCTCGGTTGGGCAATGATGGCGCCAGAGGCGTAGGAGCCTTGTTTGTCTGCTGCGTGTGACTGCTCCCTCTCTCACATGCAACTCGATACTAGTGAACGTCGATGCGCTGTGCATCTCTTGGGTCGCATCTTGCGCCATTGCCCCTCTATGCGCGTATGTTCGCATTATGATCCTGTCGCTCTTGCCTCGTCGCCCTCCTTCTGCGTGTGCGTCTTTGGCCGTCCGCGCCTTCCTGCTTCAAAGAAGACCCAGTCTGCTGCGAGTTTGGAACACAGGCAAGTGCCTTTGGATGCGGATACGGTGTAATTAATACACGGGGAACTGAAGGACGTCGCTCTCGGTGGCAGGCGCCCCACAATATTCCCCATTGCGCCTGCCCAGGCCGTGCTTCTCCAGGCGTATGCCGTAGGTGTCGTCGCTTTTGTTGCGTGCCTTCCCTGTTTCAATGCCTACCAGCACCAACTAGACCGCGTCTAATTAAGCATCCGGCGTCTCTTTCCCGCACTTCGTGCTTTCCCTAGACTTCCCGTGATACTCTTTTCCTCAAACCGTATTGCTTCGCATCCAAAGGTTTGTCCTCCTACTGCATCTCCATCCGCCCATCTCGCCTATCGCCCCCGTCCAGCCTCCACGCTCCCTACAATTGGGAACAGAGAGCGCACAATCCTACACGAGCTGCCCTCGAAGTCTGTGAAACGGGCGAAACCGCCGCCAGCCCCTGTTTCTCACATCCTGCAACCGCAGCCACAATTGGCGTTTCTTTCGTCTCTTCTTTCTATCAGCAGCCTTCTTCGACCTCATTCACCTATCGACGACGCATCGCGACTGTATACCTTCTACCTGCCACTTTCAGCACCCTTTTTGACTCCTCATATCGCGTCCCCTCTTTCGCCGGGGCCTTCCCCAGAACCGAGACCCACGCCGGCCTTATCGGTGGGTGAAACCCCACCTATCGGCTCTTCCCAGCCAGGAACTCTGGCTACACTCTCCTGCAGGAGAAGAGCACAAGCCCTGTCGTGTCGTTGGTAAACAGACGCGCCCGCCAAAGACAAGCATCTTTTCATTTCCTTTTTTCGTTCTTCCCGGCCTCCAGCCCGCCTCCCGCGCCCACCGCCGCTCGACCCCGGCGGCCGCAATGGCGATGGCCGCGCTCCACCCCAGCCAGCCGATCCACACGCCCACGCCAACGTCGCCAGACGACGGGGCCTCCTCGTCTTCCCCGAATGGCTTCACGGGCCACGGCTCAGGGCTCCACGCCCTGCATGACGTCACAGTCGCCGCGCAGGTCGCGCAGGCTGCACAAGCTGCCCAAGTCGCTCACACTGATCAGACTGCCCAGGCCAGCAACAACGGCCTCTCAGACAGCACAGCACCGCCCACGGCTGCGCCGGGACCGACTTCCTCGCCGTCAATACCACAGTCACAACAGGCAGAGGCGGGAGACCCGAGGCAAGACAAGACAGCTCGCGACGAGGCAATGGATGTCATACAGGCTAGCGACACGTTTCCCAAGAACTTGCGGGTTGACGACTTTGCGCGCATCCGTACATTAGGAACAGGTATGCTCAGGAAAGAGGGAGATATATATATATATATATTGTCCGCTTTTGTACATGCCACAAAGGGTATGGGTGCACGAGACAAAGACAGCAGAGACTGACATCCGGGGTGTACAACAGGCACATTTGCACGCGTCGTCCTGGTCCGTCGACAACAGCCACGGAACGAAGACGAGGCGCACCAGGTCTTCGCTCTCAAGATCCTGCGCAAGGCGGCCGTCATCAAGCTCAAGCAGATCGACCACGTGCGCCACGAGCGCCAGATCCTCCAGGACGTCGCGGGCCACCCGTTTATCACCAACATGCTGGCGTCCTTTTCCGACCACGACTTTTTATACCTCCTCCTCGACTACGTCCCCGGCGGCGAGCTGTTTAGTTACCTCCGCAAGTTCCGGCGCTTCGACGAGCCCACGGCCCAATTTTATGCCGCTGAAATCGTCCTCGTTCTCGAGTATCTGCACGAGCAGCAAGATGGCGTTGCCTACCGAGACCTCAAGCCCGAGAACCTGCTGCTCGACGCCCGGGGCCACGTCAAACTGGTCGACTTTGGGTTTGCCAAGCGGCTGGGCCGCGACGGGGCCGGTGGTGCAGTCGAGACGTACACGCTGTGCGGTACTCCCGAGTATATCGCGCCCGAGGTGATCCAGAACATGGGCCATACGACCGCCGTCGACTGGTGGGCCCTCGGGATCCTCATCTACGAGTTTCTGACGGGCTATCCCCCGTTTTGGCACCAGAACCCACTCGAGATCTATCGACAGTATGTTGTCCTGTTGTCCGCTATTCCTGTGACTCTGCACTGGCGCCCCACCATACTAACTCTGTGCAGGATCCTGGAGAAGCCCGTCGTCTTCCCACAAGACCCGTCCATCTCGCCAGCCGCCCAAGACCTCGTTCACCAGCTCTGCACGGTCGACCGCTCACGCCGACTGGGTAATATCAGTGGCGGAGCGGCCAAGGTCAAGTCACACCCCTTCTTTGCCGGCGTCGACTGGAACACTCTGTACGAGCGGCGCGGCCAGGGCCCCATTGTGCCGCCCGTGCGGTACGTGGGTGATGCGCAGTGCTTTGATATCTACCCGGAGAACGATGTGGACTTTGAGCAGTACACGCCTGAGCTGGCCGAGCAGTACGACCGGTTCTTTGCTAATTTCTAGGCCGCTCACAATGTGCCAGCGTCTTTTTGCCCTCTTTTCCTTTCATTCAAGCCGGCGGCGGCCTTCTTTGCCCTTTACAACCTACGGCTCTACACCCTTTCTCTGCCCTGTTTACGACCATTTTCTTTGCTCATTTTCCGACCTTCATGAGTGGTATGATCTCATTTCTTCATCATTACCCATTATCGTTCTTTTAATGCCTCTTACCCTTACCTAAACACCGAACCGACTCTACTACCTCTCGCTGCCTTGTCGGATCGATTCACCTAACGTTTCTCCTTCTTATGTTTCGTTTTACTGTTTCATTGCTACTACGGCTTGGTATCTCATGAAGGCAACAGGATACTTGGGTTCTCACCGATCAGGTCGTTTGGATACATTTTGGTCTACGTTTTTGGTTTTGTATATGACTCCGTTGCGGCTGTTGTCCAACGGTTGTTCCCTTTGGACATTCTCTCGCGACGGTGACCGCAGTCGCAAGGTCACAGAATTGGCCCAAGCTAACTATTAACGTTTATAATAACATTTATTGCAACGACCAGCATGACGTGGTGATAACTGTGTCGGGCACTATGTACGTAGATGGGTGGCCCAAGACGTGACTTCCGACTAGATTTACCAGTAACACTACCCTGAGTTTTCCAATAAATTAAAACAAAAAAGGTTGATTTACCTACATTACTAGAATTTAAAATCATTTTTATTGTATTTATTTGTTATTGTTGTTTTTCTTGTTATCAAAGGCGATGTCTGTATCAATGCGTATCGAGAAAAAGCAAAGAGTAGAAGTGCATAAACCAACAAAATGAATATGTCCTGGCACCCTTCCGCAAAACAGATAAAGTGATCATGAAAGTTTATTATAACATGAAAACACGGATGGTAAAAGAGCCCGCCTGGCACTTGAAACATCACAAAACAGACAGAACTTCCCGACATGAGAGCGTTATATATGATCGTGCAGAAACGGACAAAGTAAAAACACACCGCATGCCGCCCCGCAAGCAAAACAGAACAATATAAAACACCCAGCATAAGCACATGCACCGCTAAATCATTACTGTCTCTCCAGCCTCTTAATAGCCATGCCTTATAACCAGCCCACCCACACCCAGTAGAGGCCCACGACGACTACAAGCGTTGTGACCATGACCGCAGCGCCGGCCCGGGTGTTGAACAACAGCATACCCCCGCCGGCAACGCGCTCCCGGTTACGGGCACGAGCACGACGGGCCCAGGCGTCAATGTCAATGGCCACAGGAAGGCGGACACGTGGGTCGATCGATTCGTTCTCCGACTCGCCGTCGGAGACTGCCACGTCTTCCTCAGGGTGCCCCTGAGGCTTGCCGAGCAGGGGGACCTGAGCGCGGAAGTACACGGCCTGATGGTCACTGGTGCGCATGAGCGGCAGCGGCTTGTAGGAAGTGACCTTGACTTCCGGGGTGGCTGCAGTGTCGGGGTCAGCTTGCGCCTTTACCCACACAGGCACGTCCAGATAGAGGACGCGGTCGCACCAGCTGGGCCAGCGGTGCGTTGCGTATTTCCACGGGACCGGAGGAGCGGAATTCGGAGACCCCGACTCTGCATGCTCGCGGATTTCGGCAATGTTGTCGGGAACCACGCCGTCGGCAATGTCGTCGTCACTGAGAATGTCGTACTTGTACGTAGGTGGGAAGGCGATGGGCGCCTCGCTCATCCCGTGCAATGTACGCCCAGCAAGCCGCTCCTCGGTCAGCTGGTCTCGCTCAAGGAACTTCGACCACGTGCTTGCGGTGGGGAACTCGGCATCAGCGGGAGGCCGCGTGTCGCCGATGCGGTAGTTGAGGTCGCCGGCAACAAAAAGTAGGCTGTCGGGCCGGAAAATGGAGAGGTCGTGCAGCTGGCGGCGGAGATCCACTTCGTGCTGTCGCTCGCCTAGAAGGAGCCAGGCGTCATCGCCAGCCGCGTCTGCCGCAGCCGCCTCAGCTTCCTCCTCGGCGGAGCGTGGGGTGCTTGCTGCTTCGTCGTGGATCCGGCCCTGGCGGCCACGGCCGAGCGCGGCGGCGGCCTCGCGTGACGGAACGTCGGCAAGCACGTCGTTTGGGTTGCCAAAGGTCAGCCCGGCAACAATGCTGCGCCAGTTGGCATTGCGTCGCTGGACGTTCCACTCCATTGCGGCCAGATGTGTAGCAACAAACGTGAGCTCGCTGGGCGAAGAGCCGACTGAATCGTCGCTGCCTTTCTTTTCGTAAGCTATTCTCAGGCCAACCGCGCCTTTGTTGCCCAAGTCGGCTACACCAAAGCCACAGTGTGCGACCTGGATGTTGCTGATGGCTGACGGATCACGGGCGTACATCAGAATGGCTGTCATGCCAACGTGCGCCTGGTGGATGAAGTGGTATGGCTTCTTGGGGCCTTTTGATGTTCGAGTCTCGCCCGCATTGTGATCTTCCTCTTCGCCGTCGTTGCTGAATTCGTAGCCCTCTATTTGTGTAGCGGCCTGGGTCAGCGCATCGCCGAACCGCAGGAGGAAGGGGTTGAGAAAGTAGGAGCCGGCAAAGGCATGGCCAAGAGGTGCCACTTCCTGTAGAGAGCTGCAAGGTAAACAAAACGGTTAATTACGTGTTGTTACGTGCAATGCCAGCCATTGGGCCGCTGCGATCTCCCAAAGCGACTCACAAGACGATCAGGTCTGGCAGCAAGGACGTGTTTGACGCCGCACTATGGTCGGACAACGCATGCTGTAGGTGCCCTGCGAAGTCGGCAACATTGATGGGCGCCTTTGCACAATTGAATGTGAGCAGCAGCAGATCCAGTGTTGGAATAGAGACCATGTTGCCAGTGTTGCGCCAGTCTCGGGCCATTATCGGTGGGCAGAGTCGGGCAATGGATGTGACGAAGAGGAATGAAGAGCCTGGGCAAATGGGTGCACGAAAGGGAGGCTGAACAAGGCGGGATGGGCGTGCCGTGTTCGCAGCTGTTTCATCAACCCTTTCTCGTGTCGCTTCGCTGCCTTCCTGGGCTCGGTGAGGAGGTGTTCTCTATGCTAGATGATTTCCTTTTTGGTTTTTCGTCGTTTCGTCGTTCTTTGGGGTCGTGAGCTACTATTGCCAGGTCCTGATTTCTCAGTCAATGGGCCCTGCTGTTTGCTTTTGAAGTTTGGAGCTCAGCTTCCCCCGCCAAGTTCGGCTCCCACCAAACGCCCTAATGGGCCAGACGTATGGGTCCAGGGCCGGAATTGAATAGAGGTGGGCGCCTATTTTTGTGGGGCACTGCGAGCTAGATGGCGATGAATGACGGGGCTGAGTTTTTGTTGTGCGAGCAAACCGAATTGGCGGAGGAAGAATGAGGGGATTTTGCAGGACACACAATGTGCGGTGTTGCCTGGTTTTGTACCATGCCCCAGATTTGCCTCTTTCCTTTTTTTGTTTCTTGCGTCTTATTATTGCCTCGCTCTTGCTGTTTCTTATCCGAATCATTCGAGCACCATGTGCGCCTTCCATTTCCCACCACGTGCCGCGTTTTTGGCAGCTGCTCAATCCTGTTGGCTCTAGCGCTGCCTGGAACACATCATGTCTTGGCTCGCTGCAGAAAGAACGAACGTCTAGACTTGCTCAGCCGACAATAAAAACCACGATCAGGTTCAAGTGACGGCAAGAAAGACCGAGGACGTATAACAGCACGTGCACAATACTCCACGACTACATGTTGATACACGATACCTTAACGTATAATTTCATGTCCATCAGCAGGATCAGAACTTTGTAAGAAATGAAGTGAATTGTTGCTTTGATACTAAGATACTATGCAAGGGGGTAGAACTGCCCAACGAGCAGACACAGAATTTTCGGCACCGGCAAGTGCATTGCCTAGAATCCTGCGATCCTGTCCCACTCGCCACGGCCAAGAGATGCAGAATAATAACCACAGCCTCCTTTTGTGAGTAGACACTCCCCTTATATCAGGACGCCCCATTCTCACTTTCTGCACGCCGGCCGACGACCTTCCCACATTAAGGCACAAGGTGACTGTCTAGGTTGATCCTCGCGCACGTCGTTTGACGATACAAAAGAGTACCTTGGACAAGACCTGTCGCCACCTTCTGTCCCAGCTTCCCCTTCCTCCCAGGTCGCTGCCGCCGAACACCTTTGTCTAAATCTTAAATTTCTTACAATTTGAATCATCCGCACGCCGTAGTCTTGTAAAACGTTCCCCTCGTCCCCATGATAAAAGCTATTACCTCCCCACAAGCGGACTGGAAAGCGACATGCCAAGCAAAGAAGCAGTATAAAAGGAAAGTGAAAGAAAAAACAGAACTCGTAAGCCATGATAACAGTGCGAAATGAGAGGCAGCGACAAGCTTGTAAGGAAAAAAAATAGAAGCAAAAACAGAAAGCAGAGAGAGAAAGAAATCATGCATCAAAGTGTGGGGGAGGTGACAAACATAACATGATGGAAACGGGGAAAAGGTGGTGAATGGGGAAAGGGGTAGTGTAAATCATGGTTTTTGGCTGGTAGTTCTTCAACACAATGGTCGACGGGGATAAAGGAATTCTGATATAGAACTGCCTCGTGGCAAGGAATGCTGATACTCAAAGACAGTCCTCATCTCCTCTTCATCCGAGTAGTCATCGTCTTGCGATAATGAGCTGAACCAACTACCAACTGTCCCCGTCGGACATCGCCACGGCTTGATGTTGTCGAGCAGCAAAGGTTCAACGCAATCAAAACGTAGCACTGGGGAAGGAGATAGATCGGCAGCTATCCGTAGAAAATCGCAAGTGTGCGCACCCGAGTGTTGACAGCAGGTGGGAATTTTGTCGAACACGATTTGGGCGAGAAATTTGTTTTGTCGTTGCCGTAAGGCCAATGCGGCAGAGGTGACGGAGAAGGCGACAGCGTGATGGGTGAAGCTGAACTCAAGCAGAGGATTGCACGAAGCTCGCTCGAATGACGCCAGGCACTTCTACCTTCTTTCCGTGGTAGTGAGCAGCGCATGCTTCGCCAACTGACGAAGCCTT